TCTCTCTCTCTCTCTCTCTCTCTCTCTCTCTCTCTCTCTCTCTCTCTTTGTTTCTCTCTCTGCGTCTCGCTTATTCTTTTTCTCTCTTTTTCAATTATGATGATGGAGGACTATGTCTTGCATGTCTTTGTTGTTCTGTTCGTGGGGAAGATTGCAACCAAACGTTTTCCCGTCTGTGCCTTCGCTACCTTGTCCGGGAAGTCACTCATCCAAGGTCACGGGCAATAAGAAGCATGTCTCTGTGTTTGTGAATTCGACGCAACATGTTTTGAAAGGATTCCTGATCAGAGTTAGCGAGTACTCAATCCTCAGGGTCCCTGATGTGTGCTACCGTCGTTATTGGAGTCCGTGTTGAAACTCGTGAAGAGACGAACAAAACACCACGCAGAAAGAGAAGCTAGAGCACAATTAACCGTGAGCGAAGGGACAATGTGGCGACGGGGCAGGAGGGCCAGGGACGTGAGGAGAAGGGGAGGCACAACGAGCAGGCGGGTGGGATATGTGGAAGAGACAGAACAAGGCAGTATCATCGTTCTACTCGTTTTGTTTTCCTCCTGTCCTTGTTTTTGTTGCTCTTCTTCTTTCCTCCATCGTCCCTGAAATCATCCTCCCGGGATCCACCACTTTCCTCCACCAACTGTCATCAGTGCATCGTCTCCCTCCGTGTGCCTTTGCCCTTCCTCTTCGCGTGCCCCACCTCTTGTGTCCTTCTCCTTTATCGGCTCATCGCCCTTGATCTCAAACGCCCGTTCCTTTCCCTATCTGCTTACCAAACTCCATTCGGTTGTCGCCACGTACGTAGCCCTCTTGGTGATCGTCATAACACCCATGGGACCCTTCATCTGGACATCCTAACCACATGGCGCCCATACCGATTTTTCATCCGCCCATGCCGATTTGCTTACGATACATCCACGCAGATGTTGGGGAAATCGGTTATTGGGTACAAAGCAGAAATACAAAAAAAAAGAAAAAGAAGCCTCACGACATAGCTCCATCTTTGTCCATGTCGCCGTTCCCTCTCTCTATTTTGATGCTCCCCCTCCCTCTCTGTCGCCACTCCCCTGCTTATCCCTTGTTCTTCTCGCATCTCCTACTTCCCATACCGACCCTCATAGCACCCATGCAACCCTCTATCTGGCCATTCCAATCGCTTATCGTGGATGCTGATCCTCCATCCGCCCATCCAGATCTGCTTACGAAACATCCCAGCCGTCCCTTTGCCCATCTCGATTCTCTACTTCCAAGAAAACCTCATGACATAGCTCCCTTCTCCTCCATTGTTACATGCCCAGTTGGGCGATGTACATATAAACCGAGGATCCGCAAAGTGATAAAAAGGACTGAATGGACAATGCAGTGCTTGTGGAATCTCAACAAACAATGTACATCCTGATACATACAAAATGGTGCTTTATAGTGCAGTGGAAGACTTAGATACAAGTCCTGACCTGACCGGGACTGACCTCCTTCACGTAGTACAAGATAGCGCAGCAGGATGCTAGAATACCAATGACGAACCCACTCAATGCTGCAATGCAGACTAAACATACATCATCTTCATCACACGGTGTGAAGGGAGCCTGGCGCTACACACAGGAAGAATGCGCCAGGTCCAAATCATGCACAAACGAAGAGGAAGGAAACAGATGAAGAAGGAGGGGGGAAGATGGGAATGTCGTCAACACCAAATCTTCGTTACAAGTCCCAGATAACCCCTCGTCAACATGTCTGAAGCCCAACATCGAGTCTGGATCCAAATGTCACCAAGCTCTCCCTCGTAGTCTGCTGATGCAGTGAAGTCAGATAGCGAGAGGGTGAGAGGGAGATAGTGGACTGAGAAGAGGAAGAAGAAGAACTCTCTCTCTCTCTCACGTGCCAGGTAGCAACCTGTGAAGTTGGCGATGTGTTGCAGGTACCTTGAAGACGAAGCTGGAGCTATGGCGCTGCAGGTAAGTCTCCCTGGCCTCCGCCCAATCTCTCTCTCTGTCTAATACTGCTCTAGCTCCTATGGCGCCCAGCGCTGAAGACTACTGCTAACGCTACTAGCGCCCAACGCTGAAGACTATTGCTAGCGCTACTACTGCTCCTGCAGCGCTCCTCCAGAGTGCTGCTGCGGAATCCTGAAGACTACCTCCTGCCTCCTGAACTGCACGTGAAGTGCCTGGGAAGTACATAGCAACTACCCGCCGGCCTGCAGGGTGGGCCAGTCCTATATAGTGTTGGCCCATCCAGGAGGCTGCTCTTGACAATGCCGAAACGTGCCAGACCCTGGCGTTGAAGCTCAACCAGGGGTTGTTTTGAAAACAGGCCCGAAATGGCCTTTGCTAAAACCCTGGTTTGTTGCCTGAGTTTCAGGGTGGGTCGAACTGATGAGGGCCTGAAAATGGCCGTCAGTTTCAGGCTGAAAACACTCAGGGTCGGAAAGGCCCTAATTTAGCCTGAAACGACACAGGGCTTGTAGGCCCTTGTTTTCAGGCTTTCAGGCGGAAACGACACGGGGCCTATAGGCCCTTGTTTTCAGGCTTTTGCCCTTGTTTTCAGGCTTTTGGCCTGAAAACGTCACGGTCCTGAAAGGGGGCCCGTGCACCCTGTTGCAGGCGCAGCATGTAACACCCCCCCCTCCTTATGAAGTCAAGCCGGGACGAGGGCGAAGCTGACGATCTGAAGGTGGAACGTGGATGCGGGTGCGACGTGGAGCCGAAGATACCGGCTTGCCTTGCATCTTGCGTTCGTAGTGTGCGAGAACATCTGGAGCTGTTGCTTGGAGTTCTGCACGGGTCAACCAACGGTCAGCTCTATGACTGCAGTACACAAAGTGTACCAAGTACTCGGTTGGCCTGTTGTCATAGCGCCGTTGGGAGATGATGTCGCCGACCTCTTGAAAACCGCCCATAGAGGGTGGGTCTTGCGATCGTCGCCCGAGAAAATCGTCATGTTCCGCTGGCGTGTAAAGAGCCAACTTGGAGCAATGAAAGACCAGGTAGACGGGCAAGTGGGCGGGCACCTGAATGGTGAAGGAAGGTCTTTCCGATGCATCCCCAGCGGGTGCCACGATCGGCCAAGGCCCCATCCATTTCGGGAGGAGTTTGCGAGAGATATCTTGTTCAAGGCTGAATTCCGCGGCGGAAACCCAAACGAGATCGCCCGGCGCGGAATGGGCAAGGAAGACGTTGGCGATTGGCCTGTTGGCTCATGCGTTGCTGCGTCTTGGCCATCTGGTCGCGTGCCTTGACAAGTAGCTCTTGCATCCGACGCAAGAAAATCAGATGTTTGTCGCTCTCGACCGTTCGTGGAATGATTGTGTCCAACGGAGAAGTGACCGGCGAGCCGTGCTCGAATTCGAAGGGCGACATCCGGATAGCCGGGTGGATGGACGAGTTGTATGCCAACTCGACATCCGGCAACGGCTCAACACAATCCTTTTGGTCGGGACGTAAGAGGTCGAAGGAGAACATGTGCGGCCTGATGGGCCCTCTCCGTTTGGTCATCGGTTTGGGGGTGGCGAGCCGAACTTGGCTTGAGAGATGAGCCCCATCGTTTGATGAGCGCCAACCAAAAATCGGACATGAACCGAGTGTCGAGGTCGCAGACGATTTCCTTGGGGCAACCCTTGGTTCGAATCCAACCAGCGTAAAGAACCTCGGCCAACTCAGGTGCATTGGCATGATAGCGGCAAGGCAAAAACATGGCAAACTTGGTGAGTCGGTCGGCCACCGTGAGAATCTCATCGACACCGGTCTTGTGCTTGGGAAACGGGCCGGTAATGTCCATGGCAATCGCTTCCCTTCGGCGCAAAGGGACCGGTAATGGTCGCAACGCGCCGTACGGACGATGATTGCGGGATTTGCAGCGTCAGCAAACCTCGCATGACTCGCAATAGCGTGTGACGTTGTCGAGAAGGCCGGGCCACCAAAATCGCTCGCGAAGTTGGCCAATCGTGCGATTGACTCCAAAGTGTCCGGTGGCGGGAGCATCGTGGAACTCACCAAGAAGCCGTGTACGCAAGTGAGAGTCACTCTGTACGCAATGAAGGTCCTTTCCCCGCGTGTGGATAAGCAAGTACCCCTCTTGGATCCGGTACTGAGAAGGCGCCGGATTAGGAGAGGAACAATTCGCGTACTTGTCGTGAAAAACGTTGGTAGTAGCTGGCAAGGCCGAGGAACGAACGGACATTCGTGACGTTCCGTGGTTCCGCCCACTCTTGGATGACTTTAATCTTGTCCGACAGCGGACTGATGCCCTCCGGTGTGACAAAATGGCCCAAGTATTCTCTTGCCGGACAAATTCGCACTTGCCGCGGAGGAGCGTCTCCAACACTCGTCGAAAGTGCTCAAGATGATCCTCCAATGACCGGCTGTAGATGAGAATGTCTTCTAAATAGACCAACACAAACCGGTCCAATATCGCACACAACTTGTTGGTCATTGCCGCTTGAAAGGTCGTCGGGGCATTGGTGAGGCCAAAAGGCATGACCACCCACTCAAAATGCCCATACCGCGTCTTGAACGAGGATTTGTAACGATCGTTCGGTCGGATCGAGATTTGATGATATCCCAACTTCAAATCCAACTTAGAAAAATACTTTGCGCCGCCCAATCGCTCAAGAAGATCGTCGATGCGAGGAAGAGGCCCCACATTCTTGACGGTTTGCGCGTTGAGCTTGCGGTAGTCCATGCACAATCGTAGATTCTTGTTCTTCTTCCGTACGAAGAGAACTTGCGCTCCGTATGGAGAGCTACTACGGTGGATCCAACCCTTGTCCAACAAGTCATCGAGTTGCGCGCGGAGGACCGTAAGCTCCTCCTCGCTCATGCGATAAATGCAACCTTTCGGCGGCACGACACCGGCCTCAAGAATGATCTCGTGAGAAATCGGCCGATCCGGCACCACACCGGTAGGTGACTCGGAGATGTCGGCGAACTCGTCAAGCAACCGCACCACACGGGGGTCCGAAGACAAGTCCGTGGGTGAAGAGTCGGCTACCGCGATGGTCCGTAGGAAGCATAGGCCGATTTTGTCGGGTTGCTCGTAAGCAAAAGTAGCCCGGAATGACTTGGCCGTTACCACTTGGCATCGAATCGAAGGGTGCGGAAGAGGAATAGTGGACGACACTTCGGCGCCGAAGGCGTCGCGAACGGTAAGAGTCCGCCGGTGGAAGTTGACCGTGTGATCCGCACTTGCAAGCCAAGGCATTCCCAAAATAATATCGAACTCCGTGTCCAAAATGTCGAATGTCACCGGTTTGCATGCATGAGGTGCGAAATACACCGGTATGGCCTCGATGTAGCAGTCGATAAATTGCTGCGTCCTTCTGTCCGCCAACTTGATCGCCATTGGGTTTGCCTTCCCTCAAACTTGTGCGCCAAGACCAGCCCTTTGCATAAAGGCTTGGCTCATAAAATTGCGAGACGCGCCGCTATCCAACAAAGCGCTGCAGGACGCTTGCCCAACTTGGATGCGGACATAGAGGAGCGGTGCGTTGTTGTCATCGTACCACTGCTTGCGAAACTCGCGGGCCACCTTGGTAACATACGCAAGGATGTCCCCCACCGCGACTTCATCATCCGTCGGCAAAGTTGGTGGTGCATAGAAGGATAAGTACGTGTGAAGATGAGCGCATAATGCTGCGCATTGTGGTCCCGGCAAGCGGCCTGTGGTCGGGAGAGGAAGCCATGCGAAATCCTCGGACGTGAGTGGGTCCAATACCTCTATGTTGAACTCGCGTGCCGAATCCCGTGAAGAACCACTTGAAGACGATAAGTTGTCGTTGCCGGACGGAGAAGATGCCACACACATGTCTTGTGCTTGAGCATGAGTACCCAGTGTAGGAACGAGCCGGAAAGCATAGTCCTCATAAGAAAATACAAGAGGAGGACTATCAACTTCCGCATGTGTCTCGGAACGAAGGGCGGTCACCCGCGAAGCGACCGGTTCCGAAGGTGTCAGTGTCGTCGAGTCACTCTTGGCGGTGCTCAGTTTCCCAATTTGCCCTTGCCTTTCGACGAGCAACCCACTGTCTTACGGAGATCGCTGTTGCACCACAGACAATAGTGGAATCTCATGTGTGCCTTGTATGCTTGCTCGGAGAGACCGTAGTGGGACCATGGGGCTGGAGCTGCTGCGCCGGGCCCGGGGCTAGATGGGGTGTTTGTCTTTGTCTTGCCGCGTCCTCGGCCTTTGCCGGGCGGCCACCTTCCCGGGTGGCTGCGAGTCTGTCCCCTTCATTGGCAGACACGGCCTCACTAGATTGGTCGTTTGGTGTTGCCGCCACGACCATGGCCACTTTCGGTCGATGCTGATCTCTGCTCGGGCTTGTCGCAGACGAACAGTGGAGGTTCTTAGCCTCCTTGTGCGTGACAATAATCTGCGCGGCCTTGTCGAAGAGCTCCACCGGTGTCTTCAGGGTGTCCTCGACGTGAGTCAAGGCATTGCCCAATGCCGGATACGACCTCGAGGTGAAGTAGTGTTTGATGACTTCGAAGCCCATTTGAATGTCTGGGGCGGATGTCAAGCGTTGGTACTCGGCAATTCAGTCAACACTCGGCAGTGTGCCTTGTTCGAAGACCATCAGCTTGTCCATTGCCTTGATCTTCGACGGCTCTACTTGGAACCGCTTGTGCCACACCGCGTTTAGATCATCCCAGTTGATCTTGGTATGCAAGTCGGCAGCCACCACTCCGTACTTGGAGAGGAGATTGTCCAACCATGCTTGGCACGCGCCCCCCGAGCAGGAGTATAAGTACACGTGATGCTTGTGCTCGCTAACGTAGTGTAGCTGCAACTTGAGTTCGAACTTACGGAACTACGGAATCGGGTCCGTCTTCGTCAAATCGTAGAAGACCTCCTGGTCATCGAACTTTGGAGTTGTCTCGCGCAGTTCCGATCTCGAGTGAGTGGCGGCAGTACAGATCCGCTGCTCCAACTGTTGCGTGGCGTTTTGCTATAACTGCACGCCGTCTTTGAGGGTTCCGACGTCAATCTCCAATGCCTCGAGGCGATCGGAGGTGTTGGAAGGGCTGGCAACGGGGGCGGCGACGGTTTGTTCCAGCTGCTGGAGGCGGCTGGTGAGTTGGTCAAACACCTGATTGTGTGTCTGAACCACGTCGTCGAGGTTGTGAATATCCTCCTGTTGTGCAATGCACGTGGCCAGGAGGTCCGTGAGATGGGAGAGGAGTAGAGCGATCTTGTTTCCACTCTCTTTCAGCTTCCCATTCTCAGCCTTGGCCAGCCAGTTCGCTGCCATTGTAAGCAAAGCTCGCTCTCCGCTGAATATGTTCTCGCGTCGTTGAAGTCGTTCTTCATCGGCAGCCTTTGCTGCTGCCTCGTCTTGCTGGCGCTGCTGTTCAATTGCCAACAGACGTGCCTTCTCGGCGTCCTCTGCCTTCTTCTTTGCTGCGGCTGCTACTGCATTCGACCGTTGCTTGGCTTCGGTAATCAGAAGCAGCATCCGAGCCTTATAGGCCTCGTCCGTTTCCCCGGACATCTGGTCCATGACGGCTGTTTGCGAGCGCGTAAGCATACACCAGGCCGGGGGCCTGCTGACGTGGCACTGTTGTCGGCTGACGTGTCCTGCTGACGTGGCAACTTAACAATGCCGCCGCAGGGGGTACCCGGAGACAGATAGAGAAGGTAAGACCAGAGGGGGCAACAACGTAGGTGGGGAGGGGGAAGGGGGGATAAATCACCCAGATAAGGAGCCACTAATCAAAAAAAGAAAAGTTTGAAGTTTGCAAAAAAATTCGAGAAAAAGAAAAAATACTCGTTTGCAAGTTCAGTAGGTCTCCCAATTCCCCCTGAAGTGCGAAATTACTAATGAGAAAATTTTTTTCGAACTTTCAGACTGCAAATGATTATCTGACAAAGAATTCCGAAAATAAAATACAGCAAAATATTCGGAATTACTCAGATGAGAGTACACACAGTTTGGAGAATGATAACTGCAAGAGGGATTTCCCGTGCCGTTTTTAAATCTCGAAACGAATTTCGAAGATAAAAAAAAAAATATTCCGGATTTCCATATAACAGGAAATTGCAAAAGGAAAACGAAATTTTCGAAAAAAAAGATATTCTGGATTTCCAACAACGAAATTTCGAATTTTCAGAAGAAAAACGAAAACTGAAATTTCAGGTGTTGCGCTATTGCGATTTTCCACAACAGAAATAGCGGGAAAACAAAATCCAAGAAAAAAAAAAAAAAAAATTGATTTTCGGCAATGAGGTCAAAATCGTGATTTTGGGGGCTAACTAGTGTGCTCTAATCAATCACTCAAGACCATACTTGCGGCGCATCGCGATGCGCTGCACTGCGCACGTGCGCCGCACCACACATCCCGCACGACGTGCACGCACCTCCAAAAATGGGGGTCAAAAAAAAAAAAAAAAGTTGTGAGGGGCGGTAGTAGACCCGGCCCCCTGCTCGCGTAAAATAAGAAACGGGCAGCCAAATTTTTTTTTGGAGGCCGCACATTGGCCTGAAAGCTTTTAGCAACCTGTAGTTCGGGTAACACTCTGTGTGTATGGTAGGGTTATTGCAGTCTGTATGGTAGGRTTCTTGCAGGCCAGATTCAGTCATGATGAGGGTCGCGATTTCTCAAAACGTTCTCTTCTTATTACTTCTGAAGCAGAAAACGACGGAACTGACAGCCATTTTTCCTGGAATGTTTTTTTTTTTTAATAAAAAAAAAAAACGTAAAGGAAGAAAATCAGAATTTCTTTGCACGAGTGTCGCCCGGCACGTCCAACCTGTCAGAACCTCAACGGTAATTGCAGTCTGTATGGTAGGGTTCTTGCAGGCCAGATTCAGTTATGATGAGGGTCGCGATCTAGTATTACTTCTGAAGTAGAAAACGACGGAACTGACAACCGTTTTTCCTGGAATTTGTTTTTTTTTTCATAAAAGGAAAAAAACGTGAAGGAAGAACATCAGAATTTCTTTGCACGAGTGAAGCCCGGCGTGTCCAACCTGTCAGAACCTCAACGGTAATGTTCACCAACGGGCTCGCTGCACTACTCTCAACATGCACAACAAGACATACATGGCAATGTATCTTTCCATGTTCAAGCGGAGGATTCAGTCTCATTTGTTCAGAGATTCTCGAAAAAAAAAAAGGGAGGTTCCAGAGATACGTTACGTGCTTACCTGATTCATCGGCCCTTCGCTCTCCACCACCCAACGTATGAATGAATCTTCCACCAGAACATGGAAAGATACACCGCTATTTTTTTTGTCCTTTGTGCATGTCGCCCCGCCACAGGATTCATGTTGCCCGTTGATAAGGGCGGTTTCTTCGGTCCGATAGTGTCAGCACACGGTTTCTTCTCTCTCTCACACGGTTTCTTCTCTCTCTCTCTCTCTCTCTCTCTCTCTCTCTGTCGCATAGCAGGAAGTGAAATGCACTGAGAGCCTAGGATCTAGCAATGACGAAAGTGGCAACAACCAGCAGCATAGAGGCAACATTCACAAGATGCCAATGTGCACGATGCAAAGAGTGAACCAACGAGAAATCAACAACAACAACACATTCGTATCATCATCATCATGGGCTGGGAAGCAGCGCAGCGGAAGATTTAGTATCAAAAGGACACGTGGACAACAAACATGAAAAGGGAGAAACTTCGGAAGGGCATGACATCAGGAAGATTGCCCTTCCGCCCACACACATGGGGAGAGATCCATAGACATGCGAGAGAGAAGGGGGAGGGAGAGGGACATAGGAGGTAACCAAGTCCAACCCAAGTCTGATCTCTGAATGTCGTACACCATTCAATCCCAATGTAGAGTGTAAGTCTGATCTGAATGTCGTGTCCAATAAGATAGAATGCCGTGTCCAAACAATGTCTGCAGTTACCTCTATCTCTACTCTGATAAAGAAGAAGAAGAAGAAGAAGAAGAAGAAGAACTTCGAAGGAGTGGGAGGAGAAGAGGAGAGGAGAAGAAGAAGAAGAAGAAGAAAACTAGACGCTTTCTGCACTGACCTGGCGATGGCTGAACTTGCAGGTACCGCGGAGCCAGCTATGGCGTTGGTACAAGTAAGTCCTCTTCTCTCTCTCTCTCTCTCGCTAACTCCACTACTCTCCTCGGCGCTGGACTCCTCCAGCGTTGTGCCTCGTTGCCGATGAACAGCGCAGCTGCAGTCTCCAAAATAGCGCAGCAGGGAGTCTCCAAAATAGTGCAGCAGCCAAGTTCCTGAACCAGCATAACGCTGGATTTCTCCTGGTCCCTTTTGTCCACAACTGGGCGCTGGCCCATCTTAAGTAGTGTTGGGCCGGACCCAGTGAGTCCACGGCCTGCGTTCTAGACCGTGCAGATCGAAACTAGATCGCAGGCTTCGAAACTGGTTCAGTCCTTGGCCTAAAACGGCCTGCCTGGGTCCCTACCGGACGTCCAGGCCTTGCCCAGGACTGGCCTGTTCGGTACCTGCTCCGATTCAGGGCCTATGCGAATGCATTGGGCCTGAACGTCGGTCCAGGTCCGAACGGTCCGAAATCTGTCCGAAAACGACAAACAAGGTCCAAACATTTTTAGAGGCTCAGCCTCTGGGCCTGAATCTGGCCCTGGCCCTAAAACGTGTACCTGGCCACAAAACAGACAACCGTACACACGTTAGAAAAACAACAGCAAATAAATAAATAAAAGACTATAAACATAATCTAAAGCTGACGTTTTTCTGATGCAGGCCCAAGTAAAAATGCCATAGGGCCTTCAGGTTGTGGTGACGCGACCTAGGGGACCTATTCCAACCTCGGGTCCCGTGAGGGGCCCGTGTGTAGGCTTTCAGCATGTAACACGCCCCCCTCCTTATGAAGACGAGCCGGGGCGCGGGCGAAGCTGCCAATCCGATAGCGGAATGTAGCGAGGAAGGCGAGGAGCTGGAGTGCTCGGCGTAGTCTTCCCTTTGCTAAGATAACGTGAGAGAACGGCGGGAGCTGTGGCCTGCAGTTCCGAACGCGTCAGCCAACGGTCAGCCTTGTGGCTGCAGTAGGAAAAGTGAAGTAGAACTGTTTCTTTGTTGCCATGGCGCCGGTCGGTGATGATGTAGCCGGCCTCCTGAAATCCGTCCATGGAAGGAGGGTCTTGCGTACGTCGACCGGGAAACTCGTCGGACTCCGCTGAAACAAACGGGGCGAGTTTGGAACAGTGGAACACCGTGTGGACGGGCAAGTGAGGTGGCACCGCAATGCGGAATGAAGGCCCCTCGGGATCATCACCAACTGCAGAGAGAATGCGCCAAGGCCCCATCCACTTGGGAAGGAGCTTGCGAGAGATGTCTTGCTCAAGGCTGAACTCCGCGGCGGAGACCCAAACCAGATCGCCGGCGCGGAACGGGCAAGGAAGGCGATTGCGGTTGGCTTGACGACTCATCCGTATTTGCGTCTTTGACATCTGATCCCGTGCCTTGACAAGAAGCTCTTGCATGCAACGAAGGAACGCAAAATGGTCGTCGCTCTCGGCTGTGCGCGGCAAAGTGGCGTCCAACGGCGATGAGATGGGTGAACCATGCTTAAACTCAAATGGCGACATCCTAATAGCCGGGTGGATCGATGAGTTGTAAGCCAACTCAACGTTTGGCAAGCGCTCAACCCAATCAACCTGGTCGGGATGGATGAGAGTGCGTAGAAGGACTTGAGCGGTCTGATGCGCCCTTTCCGTTTGACCATCGGTTTGCGGGTGGCGAGCCGAACTCGGCTTCAAAGATGAGCCCCATCGCTTGACGAGGGCGACCCAAAAGTCGGAGAGAAAGCGAGTGTCCCGGTCGCAAACGATCGCCTTGGGGTAGCCCTTGGAGCGAWTCCAACCGGTGTATAAGACCTCGGCTAACTCCGGTGCCTTTGCGTGATAGCGGCAAGGCAAAAACATGGCGTACTTGGTGAGGCGGTCGACGACCGTGAGGATCCCATCCACGCCGGTCTTGTGCTTCGGGAAGGGGCCGGTGATATCCATAGCAATTGCTTCCCGTCGCCCAAGGGGCACTGGTAGTGGGTGTAGCTCGACGAACGGACGATGGTTGCGTGACTTGCAACGCCGACAGACTTCGCACGACTCACAATAGCGGGTGGCGTCCTTGAGAAGGTCAGGCCAATAGAACCGCTGGCAAAGTCGGCCAAGTGTACGGTTGACACAAAATGTCTGGAGGCGGGCGCATCGTGAAACTCGCCAAGAAGCCGTGTGCGCAAGTGTGAATCACTCGGCACACAAAGAAGGTCCTTACCCCGTGAATGCACAAGTAGCCCTCTTGGATACGATAATGCGAAGGCACCGGATTTGGAGATGAGCAATTCGCGTACTTGTCGCGAAAGTGGGGGTCGGCTTGATAGCCGCGGATGAAGCTCTCCCRCAAGTCGTCGTCGATCTCGAAGGTAGAGTAGACTGCGGTGCAAAGATCCGGTCCCCGTGAGAGGGCGTCCGCAAAACGGTTTGACTTCCCGGGAATGTGATCGGGGAAAAAGTCAAACTGGTCGATGAAAGCCATCCAACGGGCAATGGTACTGTTAATCGTGTCTTGCGACTTGTAGAATACCAACGGATTGTTATCCGTTACCCATCGGAATGCTTTCCGACCAAGGAGGAAATGTCGCCAACGCTTGAGGGCGTGGACGAAGGCAAGAAGCTCCTTCTTCCGTGCGTCGTCGATCGAATGCACGGGAGGTACTTTCTTGCTAAAGTACTCGACCGGGTGCCAGTCCGTGCCATCGTGCTGCTCAAGGACGACCCCAATGCCATAGCCCGACGCATCAGTAGTGATGCGCGTAGCTAGAAGCGGGTCGTAAATATGTAACATCTCGGCGGACAAGAGTGCCGCTTTGAGTGTTTCAAAAGAATGGCGCGCATCGTTGTCGAAGTCAAAAGGCCGCTCCTCGCTTTGTAACTTGCTTAGGTTGGCCGCGATCTTCGAGTAACCCTTGATGAAGCGTTGATAATAACCGGCCAAGTCGAGGAAGGATCGGACGTCCGTCGCATTCTTCGGCTCGGGCCACTCCTGGATGGCTTGAATCTTGTCCGCCAACGGACGAATGCCTTCTAGAGAGACAAAATGGCCAAAGTATTCAAGCTCTTGCCTGACAAACTCGCATTTGTCGCGGTTAGGTTTGTACCGGGCTGACCGAAGAGTCTCTAGAACACGGCGAAGGTGCTCGAGATGCTCCTCTAGAGTTCGGCTATAGACGAGGATGTCGTCTAAGTAGACCAAGACGAAGCGGTCCAACATAGCGCGAAACTCGGTGGTCATGGCCGCCTGAAAGGTGGCCAGGGCATTGGTGAGGCCAAAAGGCATAACTACCCACTCAAAATGCCCAGATCGCGTCTTAAACGCGGTTTTGTACCGATCTTGCGGGCGGATGGAAATCTGATGATAGCCCGATTTGAGGTCCAACTTCGAAAAGTACTTGGCGTCGCCCAACCGCTCAAGCAAATCGTCAATGCGAGGTAGAGGGCCCCGTGTTCTTGATGGTTTGCACGTTGAGGCGTCGATAGTCAATGCAAAATCGAAGTTCCTTGTTCTTCTTCCGAACGAAGAGAACGGGCGCACCGTAAGGTGAGCTGCTAGGGCGGATCCAACCCTTGTCAAGTAAATCATCCAGTTGCGCACGGAGAACCGTGAGCTCCTCCTCAGACATGCGATAAATGCATCCCTTCGATGGCACTGCGCCGGCCTCGAGTATGATCTCGTGAGAGATCGGCCGGTCCGACACTATATCGGAGGGTGTCTCAAAAACATCCACGAACTCGTCTAACAACCGGGTCACACGGGGGTCGGAAGACACATCCGTGGACGATGAGTCGGTCGTCGGGACGGTTCGAAGAAAAGCGATGCCAATCTCTTCGACATGCTCGGAACGGCATGTGTCTCGAAAAGATTTGGCACTCACGACTTGGCACCGAATAGAAGAGCGAGGAGGAGGAATAGTACACGGGACCTCGGCGCCAGTTGCATCACGAATCGTGAGCGTGCGTCGATGGAAATTGACCGTGTGGTCCGCGCTAGAAATCCAAGGCATCCCCAAAATGACATCGAAATCGGTGTCCACCACGTCAAAAGTGACGGGTTCACATGCGTGCGGTGCAAAGTACACCGGGACAACCGAGATGTAACGGTCTAAAAGCTGTTTCGTCTTACCGTCGGCAAGAGCGACCGTCGTCGGATGTGACTTCCTCCGTACTTATGCGCCAAGGCCAGCCCGAGTCATGAAGGACTGGCTGATGAAGTTGCGAGTTGCGCTGCAATCTAGCAAAGCCTTGCAGGTCGCTTGCCCAATCTGAATGCGAACGTAGAGCAACGATGCGTTGTTTTCTTCGTACCGTTGCGAGACAAACTCGCCGGCCACCTTGGCAACATAGCCAAGCATGTCCCCCACCGCGACTTCGTCTACCGTCGGCGAAGTTGGTGGTGCATGGAAGGAAAGATACTCGTGTAAGAGGGCGCATAGTGCTGCGCTTTGCGGCCCCGGAAGGTTGCCCGTCGTAGGGAGAGGAATCCAAGCGAAGTCCTCGGGCGTGAGCGGGTCCAAGACCTCCTCGTTGAACGTGCTTGCCGAATCCCTTGATGAAGACGAAGTGGCGGAGGAACCTCTGGACGATGAGAAAGCCGCACATGTATCTTGTCCTTGAGAAGCATCCAGTGAAGGAACGAGCCGGGCAGCGAAGTCTTCTAACGAAAGTGGAAGACTCCCGACATCCGCATATGCCTCGGAGGAAAGGGCGGTCGTGCGCACAACCGCTTCCGATGGCGTCGAGGGAGGTGTCGAGTCACCCTCGGCGGCGCCTACTCTCCCGAACGGGGTTTCCCGTTGGTGGGGCAATGTGCAGCATCGTGGATGGTGCTGTTGCACCAAAGGCAATAACGGTACTTGAGTCTCGTGCGATAGGAATTCGCCGAGAGTCCGTATTGTGTCCAAGGTTCGTCGGCTGCTGATCCGGTGCCCGGTGAAGAGGTGGACTGAGTCTTTGTCTTGTCGTGGCCGTGGTTGTTGCGCGGCCGGCCACCATCCCGGGCAGCTGCCAACACTTCACCCTCGTTTGGTGTTGCAGCCTCGGCAAAAGTAATGCAAGCCACCTTTGGCTTGGGCTGGGTGCCGCTCGTCGTCGCGGAAGATCGGTTGGCGTTGCGGGCTTCTATATTTGTGAGGATGATCCGTGACGCTGTGCTGAAAAGCTTGTCAGATGTGTCGAGTGTCTCTGCAATCTGCGTCAGCGCGTTTTGCAGAG